CCCCCGGGGGGGGGGGGGGGGGGGGGGGTTGGACTAGCCACACTGGTCCCCCCCCCTCCATCCACACTGTTGCCACCACCCGCAGGGTGGAGGGAGCTGTGGCTAGTGGTGCTGGCCTCATCCCACGCCCCACTTCGTCTGCTCTGTCTTCATGCCCTGTGTCCCTGCCAGAGCACCGCCACCTCCTATCCAGAATGCTCTTTGACCGCTCTGATTGGTTCAGACAACTAATCAGAGTACGAATAAAGCATTATGGACAGACAGACTAAGGCTTTTATAGATACAGAATTTGCAGTAGTTTTACTTTATAAAACAGAACCAGAAGACAATTTGAGATGCTGTATTTTACTTTACCATCCTTAAAAAAAAAAAAAAGCAACAAAAAAAAAAATCATGAAGTCCATACCTCGCTACAAGATGCAACAGCTCTATGTAAAGGAGTCAACCATTTGCTGTCTTTGGCATTAACTCTAGCCCCTGTAACCAAAAAACAGAGAGATTAGAAATATATTCTTATAAGAACTGGAAGTTCCAGCCGCCAACGTACTTTAATGAAACTGTTAGAAAATCATTATTCCAGACTCATTAATATTCCAGAATTTAAAAATTAACATCCCACTTCTCCAAGGGCTCCGAAATTAAAATACAGGATTCTCCCTTTGAAGGAAGAGAGAAATGTTATGTGTAATTCTTTATTCACCAACAGGTAAGCATGCTTGTTTACCTACAACTAATCAACCTTCTGTTTTACCAACTGTCCTTCAAAAGGCTGCTGGAGGGGGAGAGAGACAGACAGACAAAGAATGAAAGAACAAACATTGGGCTATTTCTGCCTTCATGCACCAACAAACACTTCAGTACCCTTCCACTACCCAAAACAGAGGCATGTAGAATAAAGGGCGATTTCTTGATATTTTCAACCAAAATCCATTTGTGGTTGAAGGACAGGAGTGGTATTTATTGCTTCAACTCAAAACATTGGGTAACAGAAAGGTCAAGAGTTGATCTTTTTGATCTCTAGACCACTCAGCTGGCTTTAGAATTCTTCGAAGCTGCTTCCTCCTTCCCTGTGACTACAGAACTGCTCTATCTTCAGCAATTTGCCTACAATAAACCTGCCTCCAGAAACCCTACTGTGACATCAGAGAAAATGTTCCTTCTAGTACCTCTTCATAGCCAACCGAGGACTCCTGGAAATGCTCAAAACATGTTTTTTAGAATTATTATGCCCACTTTTGGCTTGGCCCTCATTTTTAAACATAAGTACATATGATTACTCATATGTATTATAGAAATCAACTAAGTCGGGAAATGATTCCCCTCCCACTCTCTCCTGGAAGTTCCAATAAAACAAACAAAAATATGCTGGCAAATAATTTTTTGAACATTCAATTCAGAATTGAAAAAATGTCTGCCTGTAATTGCTTCCATTGAAAACTAGTCTTCAAAATTAATGTTCCAATTTAATTGAAAAATTTAGCAAAACCAAAAAAGTTTACAGACTTGAGTATAAAGTTGAGAAACTATATTAGGATGTAAATTGGTATTGTTAATTATTCAGAAGAAGGCTGCGCACCTTGGTAAAGCACAATCCCAATCTTGCAGCATTTTCGATCTTCTTGAGATTTGTTCTACTTTCTACTAAGTAAGTATTTAAACCATGCCTTGTAAAAAAGGAATGCTGCTGCTTGTACCATATTCCCATATTTATAGTTAGGGATCTGCTTAATTCGCAGTTTCATGGATTTTGTGGAAACAGCAAAATCCAGGATTACCCATGAGATCCATGAAATCAACAACAAAAACTTAATAAAAATAAAATGCAGTGGAAGCTGGTGGTCCTTGCTGCTGGGATGAGAAGGCGCTGGCTTGTGGGACAACACATAGGGCAGCAGACAAGATGGCAGCTGCCCCCTTGTCCCTCCCCCCTCACCAGGGCCTCTCCATCAGTCAGTCAGCACCAAGGGGTGGGGCCACAGTAAAATGACCTCAGAATTAGAACTTTAGGCTACAATCAACCCACAAATATGGGCAAGTCTCCCCATGATTTAGGTAAACCTCTATTTATAGCAATTTATCTACGAAAGTCCTAAGGTGAACAAGGAAAATGAAAAGGTTGCATTGTTCTTACAAGATACAGATTTTTTTAAACAATATTTCTGACTAGAGCTGCTAACTGTACATAGAGAATGCAAGATGACCTCAAAACAAGAAGTATATAAACCAGTAAAACAAAGAACAGATTAATTCCTTCCAATCAGAGGGCATACAGATGACCTCTATCAACTCTTTCAATTTCTTTCCCTACAATAGATGAGCTATCTTTGAACGAAGGCATATCTAGTTAGTGCATAGATTTCTACATCACATATACAGAATCATTCTTCTCTAAATTCAAATCAAATTAATTTTCTCTAAAATTCCATGAAAATTTGAAAGTTAGTTAAAAAAACTCTTATCAGAGAGCAGTCTAGAAGTGAATCACTATATAAAACCACCAACACGCAGAAGCTAAAGTGAAAAAGCACTACTCTGGAAGACACCAAAAACGATATTCAGCGTATTTTCTATTTAGGCATGTAAATGGTCACTGCTGTTATTTCCCTCCGGTAACTGAACACTACTTCCCTTGAGTAATGCATTTCCTGAACTTTTTTTTTTTTTTTTTTAAAGCTGGTTTCCTGTTTCCTGGTATACCAATGTTATTCTAATTGCAAAAATGTTCTGTATAATATTCTGTATGGCAAAAGTAAGACTTCCATCTTTTCAAAATAGTTCCCTAGAAAACAATTATATTGCCTGTAAATTAGCAAAATGATTTTTTTTTAATACTGTTCTGAGCATTTATTCAATCTTAAGATTAACACAGGCTGATTTCAGAGAAGGTAGTTTAGTTGTTTTACCTCGTTTTATGCACGAAAGAACATATATGTATGAAAGATCTATAGCAGGGTAAAATTTAACTTTGGTATGTGCGAGTAAAGCTATGATTTGGAGGTGACACTGGGCGTGCCTACATGAGATGCTAAAAGTGTAGACTAATTCTACTGCACATTAGCATGTCACGGCTGTGCTAATGTATGCCAAAGCTGCACTAATATGCAGTAGAATTAATCTACTGCGCATTAATGTCACGTAAAAGACATGTGCTGGC